CGTGTCACGGCCTTCAGTCCTGTCTATCCCCAACACTCACCACTCGCCCGGAGGCAGGAATTAGCCGGCAACTGATGTGCAACTCAGCTAAAGCGCACGCAAAATCGTCTCTGCAACGCGTCAACCGCAGTGGAAGGCAAAAAATTAAGTGAAGCAGTTCCCCGGACCGAATGATAAATCAAACAAACGGTGGCAAAGCCAGGGGAAGCAGCACTTCGATCGGAAAGGCAGAGATTTGCTGATAAGCAGCACAACCATTTCCTTGCAGAAGTGGAAAGTACTACATATATTAGTGCTACTTGACACTTGAAACTGATAAATCAGTGATACAGCCTAAAAACAGGTCATTTACATTCTTCCTCATTTCATGCTTGTTTTGACCAGTGCTACGCAACGCCCAGTAGTCAGCCTTCTAGCAATCCTAACGTTCCTCTTTTGTCTGCTAGAGGAAATATCGGTCCAGTGTGACTTACCCAATAGAAGCACTTTGGCAAGGCTTTAAGCCACCCGAAAATTCATCGGTTTGTGTTGAGCATTATCAATTCGCTCCCAAGCACTTCCCACTCGCAAAACATGCTAAAGTAGGTTGCCGTCTGGTGCAGGTCATAAACCAGAACCAGTTGAGCTTAGGCAGCTGAATCCTCCAGGTTACTCGTGTTTTATAGAGCTAACAAATTACAAATGTGCGTAATTTATCTCATTTTCGAGATTTTAGGACTGGACCGGATTTAGACAACAAAACAACAATTTAGACTTAAAGAAAATGAATATCAATTTCCTCTGGTTGCTGAGTTGAAAGTGGACACACAAGCAGTTTAAAGTGGACACGGACACACACAAAGATACTTTGTTAATATGAGTTTTTGCATCAGTGAAGCACAGTGCATGAAAAAGCCATAAATATAGTAAGAGAAGGGCGATACAATAACCCGAAATGATAAAATTGGAATTTCTGAAGCGAGCGGGTGCCTGGGATGCAGGCTGGCTGTTTTGCGGAACGTGGCTTCTCAACGCCCTTTCCCTGATAACAAAAATTTTATTACTGTTTTTCATTCCAAAACTTTGTTTATTCGTGCTTCCCACTGCGCTTTTAATCCATTGCTCCCTTCGTCCGTTGGGGCGCCAAACTAGCAAATGTCCCGGCTCCGCAACCTCGCAATAACTATAAATGCGTGCGCTTGACTTGTCCCAGCCGGATGACACAAGCCGCTACTGCAAGCTCAAATCCCGGACGGCAACTAAGGAGGTGGGGAGGGGGGGGGGGCATATACGGTTATAAGCATAAGGAAGCATCCCGGAAAATTCACCCGGGAAATCGGTGTGAGGATCCGCTGTCAGTGATTTTACTGGGAAGCTTCCACATGAAACGTAGCTATGCCACGTTTCCCGATTTTCAGCTGCATACCTCATGCTGTCAGTGATACATGCAGCTCACTGACAGCTTGGGAATATGAAAAAAAATGTAAAATAAGCTGTGGGTACTTCGAAAAGCTGTCGTTTCCCTGCCGCGCACCTTCTCGTCACTGATGCAGTGGACTTACATCAGCTGATGACCATCACCCTGCTGGTTATCCTGGCGCTCGCATCCATGCCTCTGCTGAGA